AGACTTATGTTTTGACCTCCGTGTGTCCTTGCGTGTGTGCGTGCGTCTGTGCGTTCGTCCGGACCTGTATCTTAGAAATGCCTTGACCAATCACAATCTAACTTCACACATACATCATACATGATAGCATACATATGCACGTCAATTTGTTTCACGATCTAATTCAAGATGGCTGAATGGCGGCCATTTTTGTGCTAAAAATCATCAAAATCAAGCATTTCCCGACTGTTTACAGATGGATTTTGTTCAAACCTTGTGTATATGTTGGACATTATAGGACCTTGATGAACATCATTTTGTTTTACGATCTGATTCAAGATGGCCGAATGGCGGCCATTTTTGTGCTGAAAAATCATAAAAATCAAGCATTTCTCGGCTGTTTACAGATGGATTTTGTTCAAACTTGATATATACATTAGACATTATGGGACCTTGATGCAAATAATTTTGTTTTTCAGATAACATTCAAAATGGTTGTCCGGTGGCCATTTTGTTTTAATGAATGGGTTTCCAGACCCATATGTCTGACTTGTTTTGACTGATTATGTTCAAATTTTTAATATTCATTATACATCATGTCACAGATATACGGATGTATTGGTTTGACGATCCTTTTCAAAGTGGCCTAATGGTGGCTATTTTTGTGCTAAAATAATTGTTTTATTTTTTAGATTGGATTCTGAATGGCTGACTAGTGGCCATCTTGTTTTAATGAATGGGCTTCTAGAGCCATATCTCTGACATGCTTTGACTGACTATGTTCAAATTTCATATATTCATTATACATATATTAATAATGGCTGATTTTGTTTTAATTAATGCTGTTCCAGAGCAATATCTCTCAATACTCATTTGACGATCAGATACAAATGTCAATTATTTAAATGTTAAACAATCATCATATTCCTGACATGTTTATATTCCAGCTATATTACTATAAACAAAACTATATATCTTAAATTTGATAACTAACGGGGACTGTGCCATGCATGACTTGTTGGTCACATGACATTATGTTCCTGACATTATTGGTCTTTTTGTTTACCATACATGTACATAGATTCAATATTTTATGAACTGAATACATAATATCTAGGCGTTGTCTTTGTCGAAAAATGGTTCATTTAAGTTGGCATGTGCAATTCTGGCTGGAAAAGCTTCAAAGGCAGTGTATGTGGTCAGGAAAGGAATTGGTAACTAGATTTCACCAAAATTACTACAAAAACTATTTGACTCGAAAATTAAACCAATTTTAAACTATGGAGCAGCAGTTATAGGTAATCGGTATTGTAAACCAATTGAAGATGTTCAGTTTAAAAGTGGTGTAAATATATATTAGGTGTGGGGCAAAATACAACCAGCAATGCAGTTATGGGGGAACTCGAACGATATCCACTTAGTATCGGCAGAAATCTAATCCGTATTAAATTTTGGAAACGTATTCTGAAAATGTCATCTGATCGACTCGTTTACAAAGCCTATATAGAGTCTGAAAAATTGGCACAAGCCATGTTTTGCTTTAGCTATTAAGAAATTATTAATTAAATACAATATGCATACTATTTGGGAGAATAGGTTTATCTCCCAAATTACCGATGAAACAACGTTAATTGAAAAGAAAGAGAGAGATATGCGTTAATTGACGATCTTCGTGGACCCCCAAATAGTAGAAATAAGTTACATACGTTTCGCCAATTTAAAACAAATATTTTTTATGAGAATTATTTGGATATCGTTCGTGTTCCCCTGTACAGACAAGCTTTAACTAAACTCCAGTGCTCTAATCATAAGTTACACATTGAGACCAGTAGATATTATGGAACTCCAGTGGAAAATAGAACCTGCCAAATATGTACAGATGCTGTTGAAGATGAAACTCATTTTCTGGTAGTTTGTCCAGCATGTAACCATATTCGAAAACCGCTTTTTGATCGAATTAATCGCATTGAACCACAATTCGAGTTCCTTTCGCCTATCAATAAACTTACATATATTTTTTCTCAGGATAACCATGAAATCATCCAAATTCTTGCAAGATTTGTATACACAGCTTTTCAGATTAGATATAATTTGTTAGTGTGAGTTCCCCAATAGATGAGTTGTGTATGTGTGTGTATATATACAATGTATATGTGTGTGTATATATATATATATATATATACATGCATATATATAATACTTTATTTTATTGAGGCGATTAATGTCACGCCTGTAACTTTCGCATTGTAAACTGTCCCCCCCAGGTTAGTGGGGTATATTTCTTTAGAGAAATGGAAATAAATAATAATAATATATTTCATTATCACTTATTACAGATTGATTCTGAAAGACTGTTTAGTAATGTTCTTGAACTGCTTGAAAAACATGAAGAATTTTGGGTTGAAAGACTTGTTAAAATTGTGCAGTATTCCAAACAAACCAAACAACCTCTATCAGCGGTTTACACAGCTGATGCTTTTAGTAAGGTAAGTCAGTTTTTAGCTCTTCTGTCGACAAAGTCGACACAGCGGAGCTGTTCATAATACTGATTGTCCGTCGTCATCGCCGTCGCCAGCGTCCGTCGTCAACTTTACAATTTCAACTTCTTCGGAAAGTCAGAATTTTTTCAAATTTGATATGCGAGTACCTTGGATGGTTCTTTCTCAGATTTCTTCATTTCTTTGTAAAAATGGCAAGTCCGATTGCTTTGATATTACATATATGGGTACTACATGTGGACCTCTCTCAGATTTGTTCATTTCAAGATGATATCTTCAATTCTCTAATTTTGGTGAATATTTTTGTCATTTTTGGTAAAAAGTGATATTTTCGACTTCTTGTTAAAAACAGCAAGTCCAATTGCTTTGATATTACATATATAGGTATTACATGTGGAACTCTCTCAGATTTGTTCATTTCGTGATGATATCTTCAATTCTCTAATTTTGGTGAATATTTTTGTCATTTTTGGTAAAAAGTGATATTTTCGACTTCTCGTTGAAAACCGCAAGTCCGATTGTTTTTATATTACATGTATAGGTACTACATGTGGACCTCTTTCAAATTTGTTAGTTTCGTGGTGATATCTTCAATTATCTAATTTTGATGATTATTTTTGTCATTTTTAGTGAATAGTGATATTTTTGAATTCTTGTTGAAAACATGTTTTGTATTGTGTTTTCAGGTATTTGTCTGACTAATGTGGATTCTGATGTTGTTGAAGTTTGTTTATTGATATTTACATTCCATTTGTGATCATAGAATTTCTATTTCATTGTTGATAGTTTGACAGAAAGTTTGGTGTGTATATGAAATACTGCATTGAAGAATTCTCTTGTGTCAATTACATGAAAACTCAAATCAAGGAGAATGAACTTTTTAAAACTTACGTTGAGGTAAGAATGTACCAAAGTCAAGACAGAATATAACTATAAAAGTAGATAACACATGTCATTCATGTATGAGTTGTGAATATAAAGTTATCTACCATTTCATTTTGTTGGACTAGAGATATGCTTACAGACTTTTGATTACGGCCAGAATAGACACAATATCAACTATAGATGCAACATTCAATCAATAAAGTCTCCATGCAACAAACCATGAGATAATATCTTGGGATTATTAACTATGATAAATTTAACTATATTAATTATTTAGTTATGTTACTTGGGGTACCATAATGTTTTGTAAACCTACATTGCACACCAGCTGTCACTATTTGAAAAGTACATTTAGCTGCAGTTATGTAGATTTACAAAACAATATGATATCTCCTGTAACTATTTTTCTGAGATGGATTGTAAAAATCAAAATAGATGTCCTGCATTGATAATTAATTGATTCTATTGTATCAAGTGTTATTGATTTGATAAAAGAAAGAATCAAAGAGTCACAGAATGTTTGTTTCTTTGTAGTGGTGCGAAAACCAAAGGGAGTGCAATAGACTTAAACTAAGTGATCTGTTAGTGGAACCGCTACAAAGACTTACAAAATATCCACTGCTACTTAAAGCTGTTTATACAAATACACTAACAGAGGCAAACAGAGACAAAATACATGCTGTGGTGAGTCAGGTCAATAATTATCTCAAAATAACAAATTATTTTGGGAATCAATTACTTTTATATCTGTTGTAAAAACTTTGTTTTACGTTTGTTCCATAATTTGTTAGATTGTTTCCTTCTGTTTTTGTTATCATGAATTGTACTTTTATTTTTATTAGATAAAAGAAGTTGAGAGATTTATTTTCAAGATAAATAGAACTTTGAAGTTACGTCATGAAAGAAAGAAGCTGGATGTCATACAAAGTAAAATTGAATCCTATGATGTCATTGACACAGCAAATGAGGAATTGAGTAAGGTAAGTTAGCTATGATGTCATTGACACAGCAAATGAGAAATTGTGTAAGATTAGTTAGCTATGATGACATTGACACAACAAATGAGAAATTGAGTAATGTTAGTTAGCTATGATGTCATTGACACAGCAAATGAGAAATTGAGTAATGTTAGTTAGCTATGATGTCATTGACACAGCAAATGAGAAATTGAGTAATGTTAGTTAGCTATGATGTCATTGACACAGCAAATGAGGAATTGAGTAAAGTAAGTTAGCTTTGATGTCATTGACACAGCAAATGAGGAATTGAGTAATGTTAGTTAGCTATGATGTCATCGACACAGAAAATGAGGAATTGAGTAATGTTAGTTAGCTATGATGTAATCAATACAGCAAATGAGGAATTGTGTAAGATTAGTGAGCTATGATGTAATTGACACAACAAATGAGAAATTGAGTAAGGTTAGCTAGCTATGATGTCATTGACACAATAAATGAGAAATTGTGTAAGATTAGTTAGCTATGATGACATTGACACAACAAATGAGAAATTGAGTAATGTTAGTTAGCTATGATGTCATCGACACTGCAAATGAGGAATTGTGTAAGATTATCAAGCTATGATGTCATTGGCATAACAAATTATGAAATGAGTAAGGCAAGTCAGTGACAAAAAAAAATGATAATATCACTTGGTAATTAAAGTAAACTATTTTATGGTTGATACCTCAGTAACTTCCAATGTTGATATGTATAATAGAACATAATGTTTTATTCAAATGTATTCATCACAACAACCCTTCTACTGTCGCCCCTGAAATATAATATTATACTAGTTCAACAAACTCATATAGAGCTTATCCTTGACTCAATTGTTCACAAAATTAGCCTTTTCCCGACAAAATTTTGCTTGTTCTGTATTTTTTTCATGTTCATTTTTAATAAAATAGACATAACTATTCGTAAATATCTTATTTTCAGTTAGTTGAAGATTACACACATTTCAACCTATCGTCGCCAATGCTCGGTGCTAACCCAACCGAACAAAGAATGTTGCTACTTGAAGGACCAGTCAGATTAAAAGACAAAGATGGTGGAAAGGTTAGTATGTGTATAAGGAAAATTATTATCATTGCAACCATGACAATATATCACCATGGTAACCATAAGAACATATCACATGACAACCTAGCAACCATGGTAATCTAACACCATGGCAAACTGTATCCATGATTTCAACTGGCTAGAAACCAAGGACAAGGCCATCTTAGTACCATGGCAACTCTTATCACCATGGCGACTCCTATCACCATGGCAACCTATCCCATGATGCTTGACATGCTGTTTATATATCATATGTACATTTCTTCTAGATTGATGTCTTGATGTTTTTGTTTTCTGATATACTACTTATCACCAAACCAACCAAAAAGGGAGATCGAGTTAAAATTATAAAGCCTGTAATGAGGGTGGATCGTATTATATTACAAGAACTGAAAGATTCCAGTAAGTCTACAAGTTAATGCATCTTTCAAATCACTTAAAGTTGCATTTCCACTCTTTATGATCGGCAGAAAATCACTCATCACTTTCAGATTCATATCACTTATAAACTAAAATTCTCAAATTAACTGTCATTTTGAAATGGCCACAGTAGAAATATTTTCCATTACACACTATCCTTCCCACCAATTAAGTAAATTGGTTGTAATCTTAACGATATGCACACACACACACACACGCATACAGGTGTCCCATGAATTGTGGAGCCACCATTGAATTAACTTTTAATATAGTTGAATTAACTTTTAATATAGTTGCGATATGAACTCGATTAAAACGCGTTCCTATATAGGGTTGCGTTTTAATTGGAGTTTAATTAAACTCAATTACAATGCAATACAATGGAGAATTGCACTTTAATTAAGTTTAATTAAACTAGAGTTGAATATCCCGTGACTGAACATAGAAATGTTTGCGAA